GTTTACGAATTAAAAAAAAATGTTGTCCGAATATACAATTAAAACAGGTCTTCAGAACATCCATTTTCATTTTATTTTCAACAATAACCATGGTAACGCAAAAATATTTTATATACTGCTTTGAGACTGCGCATACAGTCTCACAGAGCGTGTTAGCGCGCATCGTAGCACAAATACAAAAATTTTAAACAGACCTCACATGTACTCTATTAAAAGTACATTAAATATTAGCAAGAGATCAAATACAACACAACTTAGTAAGTATAACACAAATACAAATATCATAATGCAAACAGTACTACATGAGCATACGCTGTACCTAATGACATTTGTTATGCATAAGATAATACTAGAGAAATATCAGGTTATTTGAAGTGGATAAATTAACTGGGCTGGTCGTTTATATTGTCCCTTCCTTGTCCGTTCGAATGACATCCGAACGTACGCATCCGTGAAGACTAGTGAAAACTTCTTCAGTAATACCAAGTGGCCAGAGAAATTTTGATTCAGCGGCCTCTTCAAGCAAACCTATATTCCACTTTTAAGATCCTTCCCTGGTGATGGATTTACATATGTCTGTGCATTTCTTAATTGCATTAAATAATTATCTTTCCATTTCATCCAGAGTTGGCGCAAACGTTTAGTATGATACAATTTTCGACGAGTCAAAGTTCCCTTTGCAGAATAAATGCTGACTGCGGAAAATTTGAACAAAATGTACAGGATAGCTTACACTGCCTTGACCAAGAAACCAAAAATGGTCTGGAGTAAGACCTTTGCGGTCATTTAATTCATTGCTTACATAAATAAAGGGTCTATAATTTAATACCAATTTGATTTTCACAAGAATCTTATTTCTCGAAGCTAAGACAAGCCTTTCCAAGGACGTTTCTTTAAGGTTCCTTTATGCTTCTCATGAGTCTTTCATAGAACCAACCCCCCACTATGGGGTATGAGGGACAATAAACTGCCACGTTATTTCATGTAGAGGAACAAAATGCTTTAAGTTTGAACAGCCAAAATTTGGGGAAAACCTTTTAAGATGTTGTCTGTAGTCTTAAAACTATTAGCATTATCAGAAATGATGGCCTTACAATCCCCCTTCTTGTCTAAAAAAAAAAAAAAAAAGGCTTAAAGATAAAATAAAACTTTTCATTGGCATATCAGTAATTAAAACGATATGAAGTGCTCTAGTAACTCCACGTGTGGATAAGGTTGTATATGATATTTGCTGAGTGTCCTTTCCGGAATGAAGAAATTCTGGATCAGTGAAATCAACTCCAGATACAGTAAATGGCGGGTTTTTCCAATACTCGAGCCTTTGGCAATTGAACTGTCCGTTTAGCAGGTTTTATAAAGAGTATCTGCTACAAATGAGACATTTTTAAAAACCTTCTCAAAAGAAGTATAGTGTGAATAACCAGAAGTTGGTACTTATCTCAAACTGATGATAAACTCCTAAAGCGGTTTCACCTGATAGTTCAAGAACGATCCGCTGATCGATAGTCGCCAGGAACTGCCAGGTGAGTGTAATGAGGAGTAAAGTAGATTTGAAAAGCGCAACATCGTTTAGAAGAATTCGGCACGGTAATAGGTGGTATGGAAAGCAACCGTTGTTGGTACGAGAGATGTTTGGTTCATGCAGGTCGATACGCCTCTTGATGGAAATACTGGGAAGACATCCTCCGTAGATGAAAAGAAAACTGCCTCTGCAGACGAAGAAGGCAAGTCATCGCCCGAGTAGTAGGAAGGAGGTGAACTTTTTACATCACATTATCCATCTAAACCGCTCATTAGTTCTCCTTCAGAACATATCTTTAGCTGAGTTAAATCGATGCAGTTAATTAATTTACAATATTTATCATCCTTTTTTTCCTTCTCAAAAGTCCATCGAGGGCGGCAGAGACTAGATGAAGTCGAATCAAACGGCAAAAAATAAGCTATGTCCAAACAGCGCCCGCACTTTAAAGAGTGCATGCTACCACATTCCAGAAGATGCCCCAAAAATGGGAGAATTGTTGGCGTCCAAGCTAAAAACAAAACAATGTCAAAATTTCTACATTTTTGTTATTTCAACTCAACACCTTTCGTCCTAGACGTCACTCAAGCCAAAAATATAATAATGTTTTTCGCGGGGTTTGAGACACTTCAGAAACAGAATGTGAAACCAAATAAAACAGCTTTTGCGGGTTACTTTGCTTAAAAACAGGGATAAAAGCCGTTTCTAGTGAAAACATATGCTTATTTGCGGAAAATTTCTCGACTAATTAACCTATGTAAGAAATAAAATTCTCCCAAAAGGCAAAATTTTATTGTACACTGTGTATCAATTTCAAAGATATGAAGCAATAGTTTGTATTTTTAATATGCAATAATAATCCAAAAAATTACTTAAGACGAACCTAATTGAATTAGGCTAAACTAGATAGCCGAATTTCTTTTCCAAAATAAAAGAAACTAAGTTTTAACGAATTAATTATTAACACCACTAATTAAAGGTTGGTTAGTAAATTGAAGTGTGTAGATGAATTTAGAATATTACTTTCATTAATTAATTTAACTACACAATAGGATATTCGTTGTCCGTTACGTGAAGCATTCCGGGATAGTCAAGCGTAAAGAATGTCTATGACTATTGAAAGAGACGTCGAGCAACGTCCATGCTAAATTGAGGTCTGACTGGCCATCTGTAACCAATGACCATTTGGTGCGGGCATTTTGCGATCTAATTCACATAAAGAGACGATGTAAGCAAATGAAAACCAATAATACAGAGAGGAAAACCAAACAGATGAAAATGAGCAATACATACAGGAAAAGAACGGTTATCATCACAGGAAGAGTTATAGGATGAAGGTATCCAAATCTTCGTTATTCGATACAGTAAATGCTTGAACTCAATAGGAAATTCGACAGAAAAATAGAGTATGCGAATTGAGTGAAAAATGTGCTATTTTGATAAAATCTTACTTTTTTTATTCCAAGAGGGAATTAAAAAATAACCTTCACATTAAAAATAATGTTAATAATTTAACTTATAAGTAAAAGAAACATATACTGAATACATAACGAACCGCAGAAAAGAAATTATTTTGTGACAGCAAAAACACATAGACTGCTTGTAGCGGGATAAAAATGATAGGTATTAAATATAGTATTATAACTTCTGAACCAAAAAAAGGAAGATTAAATAACACACTGAATTATTTGACTTTATTGTCAGCTAACCTGCAATGAATCGAACACTTTATGCTTAGTAAACTATTCATTTTAACAAGATGACAAAATCGTGCCAAAACTAACAACGATTAAGCCATGAAGACCTAAATCAAGTGTAGCAGGAGCTAAAATGTACAACTAAAGTGATACATTGTCCAAGATATATCTCACTAAATAGCTAAAAAAATATGCATATAAAAATTAATAACACATACCAAGAAGGAGCAAAGAAACATATACAGCAAAGAAATCCCCATGAGCTTCCCAATGAAAAATCAAATGTGTTCATACGCATATTATTGTATCTAATATTCTGCAATGTCATCCTATGAGGCAAGAATCTATGTTACATAGAGCTTTAATTTATGAATCCTATGACATCCCGCATAACGAGGAAATTTTACAGAATTGATAAGCTCATAGAAGCTCCCAAACCTGAGTATCTTTTAAGTATGTACTATCAATTTTATGAATTCTAATGTGTTTGCATAATTTACTACAGGGTATATAAATGTAAGTGTATTTTCTTTCGCAATGACTTTATATAGATGTACTAGAAAGCCCGCCGGTCATACGAAATGACCTCTGTTCTAAAAATTATAAATTGCAATTAAAATGATTTGTGCAAAGATGTCTGCTAATTTAAACTGAATTACCCAGGGCATGCGGCGAGGACGCCCCTTTGCTTGCTGCTCCACGGGGTTTATCCCTTCTACTTGCTTAATTGCTCAGAGTACAATAAAGGAAACCACTGACGGTACATTTCTTAAGAGCCCACCGCTAGCTCAATATAAATAAAGGAGATTTAAATAATGAACTGTTAATTCACATGTTAAAGATCTCTTTGTACACAACATTTCTTGCTTAAATCTTTCCATTATTTTTAAGCTCGCCTTGCAGAGGACCATCCAATATTTTAAATTTTACGTCCGTTCTTTCACGAACTCTTGAACAGGCAACATAAAGTTGACCGTCTTCAAATGCAGGCTCATGTAAAAACATGCCAACACGCTTAAGCGTTTGCCTCTGAGACTTATTGATGGTCATAGCAAAGGCAAGTTTTACAGGAAATTGTCTACGTATCAATTGAAACGCCAACCCTGTGCCGTGGTACTTCACCCCATTGGCTAGTACAGTTACACAAGCAACCAATAAACTATCGGTGACAAACAGACATATATATGGGGTGAAGTAACTTCTCCGAAACGGCTGGCTCCCGGGATTAGCGAAGCTCATTGCTGGATTCCGAAGGCCCGTGGCACGTCATTTTGACCATTCGTGTCTTCGTGGGACTTTAATTAGCCGATATATTAATTAAGAACTAATTTTCCCCTACGCTTTCCCTACATTTTCCACTTTCTTTCTTGGGTTTTCCCTATTAGAGGTATTTGTCTACGTGTCAAATTCTTTCTTCTTGAATATATACGGAACGGCGCCGAGTTAAAATTTGAGACGCGTATCCTCGGATTCCAAAAATTCTTGGAATCCATCGATTCCGTTCTTATCTTCGTACAACTTTAATCGTTTGAGATATTAATTAAAAACTGCGGAAACTTTAATTTTCGTGCTCATTTTTCCTAGTGGCAGCAATAAACTATCGGCGACACACACTTTAGCCGCTTATATATATAAAGACTTTAGTAATGTTATTTTAGTTACAGATGCAGGACGATGCAATACATCTGCATCGATAAAGGAAAATCCTGGTGAGATGTCTAGTAACTTCTCTCCTGTCTACAATAATTACGAAGAGTTTGTAAACCAAATTAAATTTCTCTTACCTATGCAAATGCCTCTCTCTTCTTTGTATCCTTCTTTACAGATGCAGGTTTTACTGTTAAACCAGCTTCGTCGGAAAGTGCAGTTTGATCCTTTACCACATATGCAAGCTGAAAGAGAGTAACAATATGTTTTCAGCTTGTTAAGTAATATTTTGCAAGTACCTGCGTAAGTTATATTTGAGTAATGCCTGTTTGGGAATCCTATTTGAAATTTCACACTTTAGTGAGAATGAGACTTTTCTCATTCTGTGTTCGGAACTTGACGCCCCTTGCATTCACGGATTCAGTCTGTACGCTTCATACTGTGAGCTTATAAATGCTTAAGAAAATCGTGTTCCTCGCCGGAACTGATCTACAGTTCAGTGATTCCGTTCTTACGAGCAAGAAACTTGAAAACTGCGGATATTTATCCCCAGATATATGGTTTGTCCTCTATCTCCTCAACCATCTCTTTGTTGACATCCCAAATCTCTTTGTTTGTTTGGATAAATGCTTAAACATACAAAAATATTATGTGGAAAATAGAAAGGTATATGGAAATTCAAATAGCGAACGATTTTGGAAACACTTTCCATATTTTGTTTTTATTGCAAAATGAATCTTGCGTAGAATTTTACTTAGGTAACTTCGAATTATCCTAATTACACCTGATTTTTTTAAATATACTATAAACTGTTGTTGATTAATACAGAGGATAATAACTCTATGCATAGGCAATAAAATCATCATCGATTAGAGAAGGCATTACTTATCAGATATGAACAAAATCTTTAAGCTATTTGCATAATTATCCTTACGTTCAATAATCATACTGTGAAATGTATGTCTTAATTCTGCATGAAACCTATTTAAAGGCCTAAAATTCTACTAGTTTTATAATGGTACATAGTTCTAGAAGCAATTCAAAATCCCACTGAAGACGTTTAACAACATGGTTTTCGATAATCACCGGCAAAATACAATAAATGCTCTCATACCTCTACATGTGTTGTCATCGAGACCATATTCAGGCGGGCACTCACATACACGTTCTCCTTCTTTGTTCACAACGCAAGTACCACCATAGCATATGCAGGCTATAAGAAAAAATAGCTGTTAGTGGTTATAATATGGCGCATGCAATTCTTTCGATATTTTACTACATAAAGTAGCTTAGCGTAGAAAGTTTATTAGGTTATTTAATTTATTAGAAGTATATGAGGGCTACATGCTAAAGCTCTTCCAATTTTGTTTAAGAGGCCCCAGAAAGATAGCCTGGATTAGTTCATTTTGCGAGCTGATTAAAGTTATTTGCGAAGAGAAAAGTATGTTTTCGTGAAGGACCTTTAAGAGGTACTATCTTATATTCACATTACACATTGTGAGAATCAAGAAACTATTCTGCTACCTCATTCGGTGGAATTTCAGATCAGGTAGAATTATAAGTGTTATAATGCGCTTTGTCGCTGGTGGGTTTTCGTAGGGAAATGGCACCAAGGGTTTTGTAGCCCTTTTAAGCTTTTCTGATAGATTGATATCATTATTGGCTGAAGTGTTATTTACGTAACCTGCATCATTATTGACATTCAGCCAATAATAAATAGAGATTAATTTTGAAATGGCTAGATTTACAGTAGTTTATTATAAGCAGTTACTAATTTAGAATATAAATAACCAAATTTTAAACGAAGGTTAAGGAATTATTGCGCGCTTTGCATTTTATATTACCCAAATTTATCTTACTTATTCAGCAAGAGTGAGCAATTTGAAAGAAGCGAAGGGAAAGAGAGAACTGGACTTGTCTAAGGTGAACACCCGATTCAGAATGATTTTACATCTTTGTTTCGACTGGTAATCAATAATTTGAAATTAATTTTGGCAATTAATTAATTTAAAATCACTGCAGCCTTATGAAAGTATCTGTATCCTTAGCTTTCTTCAGTAATCATGTGACATGAATTAATTTGAAAATGAAGCAGTTCAAAACCACTTTTCATAATTAGTTATTATATTTTCAACGGAAAATTGAAATAACAAAAGTTAAAGGAATGTTAAAGTGCTACTGAAAATTGGATTTAATGTTTCATCTTATTTCACATATATAAATGATTACGATTATACTTAACTTCTTTATTCTAGTTTACAAGCAGACTGTGTGATCAAATTGACTACCTTGATATGAACTTTTGAGTCGATGAAAATATGTTATTTTTAGTTACATCGATTGCACGGTCGTGATCTTATTATTTTTTACATGGTTTATATAAAGCTCTTGCACCAATAGTCTGTGCCGTTGATCTGGTGAATAAAGAAGCCTATGCAGCTGTAATTTTAATAATGTGTTTCATTATTTTGTGTGAAACTAAAACAAATTTTCTTGAAAATATAAACTTCGTAATTGAATAAAGACAATTCTTTTTAGTAGAAAAACGATAAAGGTTAAACGAATTAGAGTTTTTTACAGACAAATTAAATATTTTAATGTGAAAAAAGAATTATATCTACAGGCACATTTTGTTTCTCTTACCCTTCGATTCGCATTTCTGACCAGTGTAATCGTAGGGACACATACATCTGTAAGAGTCAGAGATATCCAAGCACGTGCCTCCGTTTTCGCACGGATTTGGTGCACAAGGCCCTGTAGAAACAAACAGCCAAAGCTAGTACAAATTTTAAAGTAGAAAGCTTTAAACATATTTAACAATCTTATGGTCTTTCGGAATATTTTGGAAATGTTTCAAGCAATACGACACATTAAAGTATTTCTATATATTATTGGTCTCCTTTTGGAAAAACAAAAATCAAAGGTTCCAACTAATTACACTAAAATGCTCATTTATATTATTCAATTTTAATTATTTTTAGAATGAAGACAGTTAAAATAAATTTTAGCTATGAAGTGAAATTTTATAAATATCGTTTTAAGAAATTAAATTTAATTTGGAATAAATTTATTAAGTTTTAAAGCTGAAGTTTTAAACTAGAATAGTTCTATTTGATATAAATATATTTTTATTTAATCCCCAAAATAAAATTTTCTATGCTCTTCAGATGCATAGTGTTGCCTGCGTACGGATTCGTAATACATTGAACTCACAAGTCCGATAATAGGTTAATAGAAACTTATTTTTATCAAAAGAAATATCTTAGAACTGTTGAATTTTCCAGAGAAGTGTCCGTAGTATCAGACAGTATGTTTAGTAATTACACTACAAACTATTAAGAACATTAAACAAAACGCAATGCAAAGCGCATCTAAAGAGAAAGCTAAACCGATCTCACACTGAACTAGCAACAATAACAGCAGCAGCTAACTAAACGTCTGATTTCAGGTCTTTGATCTTCTCTTTTCTGTAGGCATACGACTTCAGAGAACCTTACTTGTAAATTAAAATACATTACATAGGCCTTTTGCAGTAATTATTTGTAGAAATAGTGTTATTTAACATCAGCACTCGGAGGCGAAATTTTTTTTTGGACAGAATCGTGCAATCAATTTGTTTGGCAGTTAGTCATAGCAGAGACATTAAATGGCAATTAGTTAAAGCAATTATTTCGAAGAAGCAATTATAGTAAGCAAATATTTAGGCATTTCCGTGATGGCATAGATAAGCAATTTGTAGCGAGGATGATGGCATTTTGATGTTAATGCTGCATTCATCATAAGCGAAACTTCATGATCGGCTTCCTTCCTCTAATTGAGAATAGAAATGAATTTAGCACTTAATGAGAGCATAAAGTCACGTGAAAGGCAAATTCTATACCATTATTGTAGGAAACTTTATAATGTTTTTCTCCCGCCTTCTTAACATGCCTTCGTAGTGTAGGACAACTCATTCGGCGCGTATTCGAGATGTCCGTGGTTCGAGTCTCGGCGACGGCATTGCTCATTTTTCATCTCTTCTGCTTCCAAAATACCTAATGACTGTACAGTGACGCCCGAACTATAAGGGTGGCAGATGATGATTCTCCACACGCAGGATTTGGCCATTGGGTCCCCTAAAGCCCAGTTGCCCTTTAAAAGGGAGAGTATATAAGGTATTTCTCCCGCCTTCTTCGCATGCCTTCGTAGAGTAGTGGTCAGCACTCTGGGCGCGTATTCCAGAGGTCCGTGGTTTGATTCCCAGAGAAGGCGTTGCTCCTTTTTCATTTGTCCTGCTAAAAAAATACCTAACATCTCTACAACTTAACCATTGGCTGAGATCAGTCATGTGATAGTAACAGCGACTTAGATTTCTAATAAAACACTTGATTAAATACGAATTCTAGTGAAAAAGTAAACTAATAAAATGAAGAGTAAACAATTAGTAAAATGAAAATAAACGTGGCAAAGTCCAATCTCTCTTTACCAGGGCAAAATAAATCCTTCACACCTGCTTTGTCGGGACAAATAAAAAGATAAAATAATGATGAGTACTATATACATATACTACCATCACAATACATTATGGTGGTTCGTTCTAGGTCACTTTACTATGTTTTTTCTGCAGGATATAAATCAATGATTTGTTTTAGAGATTCATAAAGGACTATTTCTGAGTGATTCAAAGACATTATGGGCCGAAATCAGTATTTGGACCAGGCAGCATGAATTGGCATATTTCGCACATATCACGGAGAATTAACTATAGCTCTTAATATTTTGCATTGGAAGACGTAACGTGCATCTTTCAGTCTTGTTGGCGATTGACCAAGCAGGGAATGCATGTAAAATGATGGGCCGAATTAGTTTGGTCCTAAAACCGATCATTTTAGTCCTAATACGCTTCCTTATGGAATACCACTGTTAATAGCCTTTTTTATAGAGAGGAAATCTCCATATCGAACCTGAAACTTGGAACCGCACTGACTTTGGAAGGTTCTGAGTTTTAAGCATGAACTGATCAATTTGATGAAAGTGACCGGAAGTGGGAAATTTGTGAGCTTAATGAATGAGGCCTGCATGCCATAATCTATCAAATGCTTTTTCAAAGTCGAGGAAGCATGCAGCAACACCATTCATTTTATTCAAGGCTTGGGAGATACATTGTACGAGATGTATTCTGACCTCTGATGCTCTCTTTCCGAGCTCTTATAGTTTTCAAGTGGTCGCGAGATATTTATAGTATTTTCTGTCTCGCAAAATTAATGGAAAGCAATATGAGGGTGTAATTATGGCTACAGCTAACATAATGGTCAATTACATTTACTCAACTTCCATACTTATTAACGAGGATACCTATTTACTCAATGTTAAATGTACTTAACCCTGTAGTGTTTTTTTTCCTGAATAGATTTGTCTTAAAATTTCTCTCGCGACACATTACACAAAAAATTACACAATTTTAATATTAATTTTACTAAAATTACCTATCTAAATACGAAATTCTTACCACTGATATAAGAAGATTCTTCCTGATATAAAGAATCCGTTTTTGTTTTTATGAAAGGCATGATGTAATTATATAAGTGGAGAAGTAATGGGTGCTCCTGCAACTTAATGGAACTACATGGGCAGGAGTCCCATCTGAAAACCTTCGTTTTAGACAAGTTATCACAACTTTTCCAAACAAAAAAGGCCACCTTGGAGGTGATACAAGTTTATATACGAGCACCCCAGTTCCGCTCCGGGTTTATACGGATTATCTAAAATTCTCCGACAGCACTTTGGTGCCTGGTCGGAGGGGCCACCTCTCCCTGTTCTCAGCGGTACTCGTACGGTATGAACTTGGACATTTGTTTGTTAAAAATGCTCCTGCCATCACTAGGCGGGCTGCCCGTCACCGAGGATATTACCTAACACAACCGTCCTACCAAACTATTGATGTCATCGCCTCTAGGACTTACGCCAATCCTATGGGATCTGACCGTAATAAGCTCGATCGAGTTCTGAAACCGTCAAACTCGTGAATTTATGACCCCGTCGTCGAGACTGCCTAGGTACAGATCCTAGACATTAGCTTCACAGGTTTTCCTGCAGCGACCACGGGAAAGGGAATCTTTAGTGCCATGCAATTCTGATTTCTGATGAAATTCAGTATGAAGAATCCCACATATTTTGAAATTTTGTCTGTTTTTCTAAATTTGACATCCTGAAATCTTTAAATTTTGATAAGAATTTCAAACGTTACATCATGGAATAGAAAATAATTTTTTTCGAACTAAATATATCAGAAAATAAATGTAGCAGAATAATAAAGGTCGAATTCGTAAAATGTGGCAACATATATAACAGTTTTATAAGTCAGCAAGAGTACAAGATGTCTCCATTAAACTCCTTACAATACCAGTACGGTGCATAGACATAAATGTATGGCAGTTGGTTTCTTTCCGCTTTAGTTGTCAACGTTTCAGGTTCTAGCTTCTAGCATATCCTTTTTATTTTTGTACCTCCCTATTCTCAAAAATACAAAAATTTCTTAAACTTTCTCAAGAGCTTTAATTTAGCTTAGTTTCTATTGTGTTTTAATATGATTAGAACCATAAAGCTTGAAAAAGAGGAATGAAGTAAAATACTGATCTTTTACCCTTATCAAAATTAAGCCTGGTACTGGTTTGTTTTTACTAATAAGTCAAGATCTTAATTTTATATATAAATTGAGGATAAAATCTGTGCGGGCGAGCCAAAACTTTACGACCATCCGCACATTTTTGAATGAACTGGTCTGGATGACATGGAGGACACATGATTAAGTATAGTATTTAACTGCTGCTGAAGATGGTAAGGAGTCATTCTTGTATTTACTTAATGAATTATTTAATGAATTTGATATAGGGCAGATTTTTAATGACCCAAAGACTCGACACGAGTATCTCCAAAACTGTACGAGGTTTCCTACACGTAGCGTTTCGTGCACGTAGGTTGTTGACGATCTGTCATTGTTAATATTTATGCAAAGTGGATAAATGACGTTGAAACCAGCAACAGACGCCAAGGTGTTGGACGTCCACGCGTCATCAAAGGAAAAGGACTTCGGAGACCGTCTCCCTCGGTTCAGCAAAATTCGCGCCAGACACTGGTTTAGCCTGCAGAGAAATAAAATAATACTAAGCAGTTACAATGACGATATCCAACATGTCTAGAAAAGTACAAGTGTGCAAAAAGATTATACGAGAAAGCTATTTCATCACCATTTTGGGATGATTTTTGGGGCCAAAGCTTTGAATGGTGAGCATTTTATCTCCATCTTGACCTCAACATCTTGAACCCGAAACTTCAAGGTTTCTTCAGACCACTTTAGTCAGTGTTTACTTTTGTTTTGTTTACAAACAGTTTAGTCTACTTTAAAAATATCTATACAAGCAGATAATTTTAATGCAGAAAATTGTAACTGCTATTCCTACAGTATAATTAATTTATAACTAATATAAAAAATAATGTTTATATATTGCTTTATTTGAAATAGTGACCCTTATAAAAATCGCGAATTAAAAAGCTTCGATTTTAATTTTCATGCAAAATCTTTCAGTTACTTTTTCAAAAATTATTTATATGGTTATATAAAAATTACTAAATCTAAATCAACTGATTATACAATGAAAGTTCCTTGGAACGATTAGCCACAATTCAAGTTAAAGAAAAACTTCTTGTAGCCCTACAGATCTATTAGGAATTTCAAATACTGTTACTAAATTATGTTCCGGCAAATGCATCATTGA